CCCCAAAACCCCAAAACCCCAAAACCCCTTAAACTTCTAAAAATTGAACTCAACTACGAATAAAATGGCTGGGCTGGTCACTAAGGCTATTAAATGGTCTGCGAAGCAAATAAAGAAGCAGAATCTGTTCGATGAAAGCATATCACTGACGCATAAGACGAAGAATAATTTCATGGCGTTTATGGCAGGGCTGGTGTCTATAGCCATGATGGTGTTTTTGATAGGAATTGGGATTATCTTAGCAATCAGAATGATCAAGAAATCAGAGATGCAATGGAACCAGAATACCACAAGGGCCTCCCTCCGAAGTGATACAACCCTTGTAAATGTTACAGAGGCTGATATGATATCTGTGCGAGTAGTTCTAACAAGTATTTTGCCTGACTATTATGCTTATGATTTGAATCAAATTTTCAATATATCCTTTGGGAATATAGAGCAAACTTATGCAGAAGATTTTGAAGCTGAGATTAAGGAGGCAAATTTAACTTATGCAAGGTGTACAAAATATGATTTTCCTGAATCCAGGCTTCATCCAAGCCTTGAGAAATATACTGCAACTGGCCAGATTAAGCAGATGTGTTTTAATCTTACAGGAACATCTATCGCTGGAAATTCTAATAGTAGAGATTTATACAAATATGTGAGACTTCATCTGAGCCTTAGGTCTCAATTCATAGACATTATGAAAGAAAGCAAGTTTTCACTTCAGTTCGAGATCCAGAGTAGGTATGTGGACCTAAATGACCTGGATAACCCTATCAAGTCGATATATTGGTAAGCAAGTTCTCCTCAGTTATTTTAAGGTTACTTCTAAGTTTGGGAATGTTTAGATGTGTAATTTCCGATCAAGGCTAATAAAATCCTGATGTAAATTTGAATTAAAATTTGTATTTTTAGAATTTTAAGTAAACCCGATTCATAAATTAACTTACCTGACAATTCATGACTTGAATACGCTCAACGCATCTCATAAAATGTTGATTGAATGCTGATTTTATGATTTACCCACTACTGCTTTCATGAGATGAGCTTGTCCACTAACTTTCATTAGTTTAAATTTACACACAATTTTAGAAATATACGAATTTAAGTATTACTATTGTCATGATTCTTAATTTATTAAACCACTTTTATACCCAGATTTGATCAGAAAAGTTGAACTTCTCGACTCTCTATTTTTACTCAGCATTGTTCTTCTAACACAAATATAGGGATTATACATTAGGCACTGTCGGTGACCTTGAAAACTGGGGAGCCCACAGATACAAATTTGATATCTTGAGGAATGAAGTCGAGCTTCAAGACACCTGGTGGAACTTCCTATCCAATCCTACAACTAAGGAATTCAAGAGTGTTGATACAGATTCTTATAATTATGAGAGACTTGGAGATTATTTAGCAACTCTTTATACTATTGACTTTAGCCTGGGTGAGAAGACTAACCAATACGGTCGTAAAGTTCTCAACTTCCTTGATGTAACTGGAGTCGTCGGAGGTCTCTTCGAGATCCTAGACATATTTGCTGGAATCATCATTGGATACTTGTACACTTACAACTTGAAGAGAGAGATCACCAAGGACTTGGTAAAGGCAGATAACAAGATTCAGGATTTGCAGAAGAGCATCGATGAAATACTCAAGAAAGACCAAGTGGGTCAAGAACAAAACAATGTTGAAGTCTTACAAAGAGTAAACAGGGATGAATGAAAAGAGAGTTCTAAAAAGATAGAAGATTGAAAAGAGGAAATTAACAGCATTGTAAAATTTCAAATAGAGAACAGTCAAATGACTAGCACTCAACATTTTCTTAAAAACACTCAAAATCCTCAAAGACTATCCAAAGTAAAGCCAATTCAATACAAATCTCCACTCTCTTCTGAACTCCAATCACTCAAAAACCATAATACCTCACACACCCCTCCAGTTCCCTCCAAACACCCTTCCGCCACCCCCTCTCCCCCTACCAATCTGAACCCAGACAAGTTCCTGAAAGGTACGTCCCCCCTCACCTCTAGAACACCTCGACTGCGTCAGCCTAGTCTTCGCCATCAGAACCCTCCAACTCAAAGTCCAGTACTTGTTAGCCAAAGATGCCTGTTTACTATCTTCTCCATCACAAACTCAGTCCCCTCTCATTCAACCTCCAACCCAGCCAATGAAAGCACCTTCAATCTACCAAAAGATTCAGCAAATAACAAAGAAAAATTCAGAAAGCACCAAAAACTTAAAGAACTTAAGGAAGGATCTATATAAACTTTAAAGACTGTATCAATATCTTTGGTTAATTTCTTGCTACTTTAATATTTTTGAAGACAATTACTCCTCTGAAATAAAATAGTCAGCCAGTGAAATACTACTTCAGTGGTAAAGCTGCTTTTACTTTCAATCATCAAAACATGCCTCTAAAGAATCAGGATCATAATGGTTCTGTAGTAAAGGTTTTTAATAAGTTAGATGATAGCCTCAGATATTGGTAAGGCTGTACCTTTAAAACTCTTCAGAATAGCATTAATGAATGAAATTAAAGATTGGTGACAGTCTGAGGTGTTATTAAATGATATTCTATATTTTGACAAATTTTACTTCGGATATGGAAGGATCGAGGTTTTGATAAGTCAGTATTTCTTCATAAAATATAAATTAAACGATACATTTTGGAAAAACAATTACTAATCTTTTGGAGCTTAATTAGTTGTACTCTAATCAGGTTAATAAGAAGTCTTGACACAGGAATGATAGCCTCAAAATTGATTTCCCAGTTCAGCCAGGTCTATAATCAATTGCTTCTTTTGGGAAATTTAAATGATTAGTATACACACAAAGGAGGGGATTAGTAAGAAATGGTATAGAGCTAGGAATGATAAAATATTCCTTAAAGTAGTGATCTAAACTAAATAGCCAAGCTCTGAGTCCTCTTTCTTAACTTAAAACTCTGAAACAGCTGCGTTCAGCACCTTAATTTTGTCTTCTTCTGAAGCCTTTTCACTCTGGCAAGTAGAACTAGGTTTCTGAAGTTAAGAAAGAGGGTTTTGAGAGGCAAAAGCTTTAGCTTTAGACTTGACTGAATGGAGAAGAGAAAGGACTTTTTGGGCAAAATGTTGAAATTCAGTATTTTGTGGGTGTAAAAATTAAAGATGGCCTTTACAATTTTTCATTTGATTTGAAGAGATTTGGGGTTTTGGGGTTTTGGGGTTTTGGGG